CAGCAGCAGCAGCAGCAGCAGCAGCAGCAGCAGCAGCAGCAGCAGCAGCAGCAGGATACCAGGTGTATGGGTGAGGTTTTAAGGGGGTCGAGTATAAGATTAAGGTTTCTAATAAGGAAGGGTGCGGTGTATAGGCAGGTAGCAGCAGCAGCAGCAAAATCAAACCCTAGATGCTGCAGCAGCAGAGCATATGGGGGGCATTGCTGCTGCTGCTGCTGCTCTCTTGCTGCTGCTGTCTTCCATCCTTCCTGCTGATACCATCCTGCTGCTGCAGCACGCCACTGCTGCTGCTGCTGCAGCGGCAGCAGCAGCACGTCAAACGCATGCAGCCCCAAAACGCATGCAGCAGTGATACCTTCGTAGTAATGTAAACTCAGGGGGCCCCCCCGCAGCACCTGGGGGGCCCTAAACAAACACAAACAATACAACAATATCTAGGCTTTAGGGTTTAGGGTTTAGGGTTTAGGGTTTAGGGTTTAGTAAGCCAGGGTTTAGGGTTCAACAACAACAACAGCAACAACAACAGCAGCAGCAACAGCAGCAGCAGCAGCAGCACCAGCAGCAGCAGCAAGCCCAGCAACAGGAGCAGCAGCAGCAGCATCATCATGATCACAAGCAAGCCCACCAAGAGCACCAGCACCAGCACCAGCAGCAGCAGCACCAGCAGCAGCCGCAGCAGCAGCACCAGCAGCAGCCGCAGCAGCAGCACCAGGAGTGAGAATTAACATGGCAGCAATAGCACCAGCACCACCAGCACCAGCAGCACCAGCAGCAGCACCACCAGCACCAGCACCAGCAGCAACAACAACAACAGCAGCAGCAGCACCAGCAGCAGCAGCAGCAGCAGCAGCAGCAGCAGCAGCAGCAGCAGCAGCAGCAGCAGCAACTAACCTCCCTCGCTATTGCTTTGCGTTGCAGCGCGGGGTCCTCCGTGAAATCCATTATAACCACAGTAGACCTAAAACACAAAAACCCTAAACCCTAAACCCTAAACCCTAAACCCTAAACCCTAGATTCATACAAGAAGCTAAACCCTAAACCCTAAACCCTAAACCCTAGATTCATACAAGAAGCTAAACCCTAAACCCTAAACCCTAAAGAACCCATCCCGGCATCCCCTGATCCTTG